TTGGAACTCTCCCATGGATGCCGTTTTTGCCCAGTCTCTTTCTTATTGTTGAATCATGAACACTGACCTTAATTGAGGCAAGTGAGGCCTGCAGTTCTTTGGATGTTGTTGTGGGGTCTTTTGTGACCTCTTGGATGAGTTGTCGCTGTGCTCTTGGGGTAATTTTGGTCAGCCGGCCACTCCTGGGAAGGTTGTTTTTGCCATTTGTGAATAATGGCTCTCACTGTGGTTCGCTGGAGTCCCAAAGCTTTAGAAATGGCTTTATAACCTTTTCCAGACTGATAGATCTCAATTACTTTTTCTCATTTGTTTCTGAATTTCTTTGGATCTCGGCATGATGTCTAGCTTTTGAGGATCTTTTGGTCTACTTCACTTTGTCAGGCAGGTCCTATTTAAGAGATTTCTTGATTGTGAACAGGTGTGGCAGTAATCAGGCCTGGGTGTGGCTAGAGAAATTGAACTCAGGTGTGATAAACCACAGTTTTAACAGGGGGGCAAACACTTCTTCACACAGGGCCATGTAGTTTTGGATTTTGTTTTCCCTTAATAATAAAAACCTTCATTTAAAAACTGCATGTTGTGTTTACTTGTTATCTTTGACTAATATTTAAATTTGTTTGATGATCTGAAACATTAAAGTGTGACAAACATGCAAAAAAATAATAAATCAGGAAGGGGGCCAACACTTTTTCACACCACTGTAGTTTAAATTATGCGACAATAAAAACAATCATGCAGTTGAGATTTGCTAAATAGTCTGTATCGCTTTACGTGAGTAACTGCTATCCTAATATGTACATAATGTTTGGAAATAAATGAAAGGCTGTTGCCTGAAATAAACAAATTTTATTACCTCAACAAAAGGAACTGGAAAAATAATTTTCAAACAGGTTTCCCTCATCTTAGTTATCTTCATCTTGAACTTGTTATAATGGCGGGAGGTTTTGCTGTAGGTGACGTGAATGTTTTAAATTGAGGAAACCAAATGATACGGTCTCTTCAAACAAGAAGGAAGAGGGAGATGTGCAAACGGCTGATAATGAAAAGAAGGAAGGGAGAAAAAATACTTTGAGAAGGAGGTTAAAGTTTGTTTTTACAGTCTTGACATTCAGATAGAGATCTGATAAAGACTGTTCACCTGCCTTCGTGAATCTTTAAGGCTATGAATATCCTGTGATAGTGGACGGTTGTGTTCCTAAAGGACAGTTTTACCTTCACACACATGATTTGAGAGTCTCATGTGAAGTAACATTTAACTTGTTCAAATCAAGGGCCGCATTACTAAAACGTGAGGTTCAAACCTTTCACAACTCAGTTGAATGTTATTAGTCTGAGTCAGAATGTGGCTCTGGTCCAAAATCTAGTAAACTACGTCAGCTACTGTAGGTTAATGGTGGTAACTGATGACTCTGCCTTCATTGACACAGTAAGGTTCTAATTCAAGTTTTATGAGTTCTCAAAAGACGACCCCCAAAGCTCATTGTCATCTCCTCGCATCCGTTAAAAGACAGCTTTCACAAGTCATTGTGAAAATGTGTGCGGTTGCTGGTGCCATTGTCAATGTTATGAATGTAGGCCAGTTTTTTTTCTTTTTACAGCCCTGTCTGGGTTTATGGACATTTCCTTTTGTGCAAGAAAATGCTTATGTTCTTTGTGTCTGAAAACAATGCTTGCTTACTCAACACAACCCGGGATTTCTTGTTGGAGCTAAAATGGGGATTTTTCTTGTTGGAAATAGATTATGGGTGCACAGATGACCTAACAATGCTTCTTAAATCCTAAAATCCTTCTTAAAGAGAGAGTTCGCCCAACAAAAAAAAGAAAATGGAAAAAAAAAAAAAGACTTTGGAAGTCAATGGGGACCATCAACTGATAGGTTGCCCACATTCTTTAAAATATCATTTTTTATGTTCAACAGAAGAAATAAATTCATATCGGTTTGGAACAACATGAGGGATTAGTGAATGATGACATAATTTTCATTTTTGGGTAAACTATCCCTTTAAATAATTCTTTTAAATATAAAAGCCAAAAGATAATTTGCTAAAACCCCAAAAATGCACTCTCTGACACAAACATATAGTAGTCATGAAAGTACTTAAACACTTCTGAACGTGAATTTCCTTGTGATAAAATATAAGTGATATTTGCAAACAAATGATCCTAGAGCTTGAACTCAAAAAATGTTACAATATTTTGTAATTATATTTGTTTTTTATTTGAATTTAAAAGCATTTTAATTAAACTTTTCTAAATTTCTTTACTTAAACAACTTTTATAAATAAATCTTTAAACTGTAAAAGTTTAAATTTGATCAATCTTTAAACTTGCTCTGGCTCAGACCGCTTTCAATCTGTCATTTGGTTAAGTACATTTGCTTCAGTGCTTGTGTGTGGATCCAAGTAATATAATATATGACTGGTCTCCAAGGTCCTGATCCTGGGAAAGTTACCGTGGCTTTGGGAATAGAAAATATGTTGATGAACTTCTGAGATGAAGCAAATATATTTTACTCTGCCTTAATATTCCGAGATTATTTTCCCTCGACAGTCTGTGATAAATCTGATTGGCATCTTTGATGTTCGATGGGAAAAAGTGCTGTGTGGAATATTCAGGCTTTGAGAAACACCGCTAGGGTTTATAAATACTCCCTCCCCTGGTTCTCATGACTTCAGATAGAAAAGATAGTGGAGTTGCACATGTTGGACCATAAATCGATGTTTTCCTGGTTACAAGATACTGTTGTGGGCATCCGTTGAAATGACATCTGGTGCCGTGACCCTGCCGATAATTCCCACTGACTTCCTGTGTCCAGACGGAAAGCAGAAGATTACCCAGCGTTGTGTTTGACATTTATGATTAGTCTGTGTCTCTTGATGTGGAAACCCTTCTGATGTGTTGCACACTAGCCGTGTCAGATTTCATAATCATATCTGTGTGTATCACAGAAATACTGATGAACTTGCATGTTGTCTGTTTCCTATTATAAAAGCATTTTTCTTTTTGTTCCCATGGAAAGTTCAACAAAAGACATGCACAAGATGATTTGTTTTGATGTGTGTTACCAAGCCAGCCATCTGAGGCCAATAATAACGCTGTTGTTTGTGTTTCAGTGGCGATGCCGTTCATCATAATGACCATCATGTTCCGGCCGTACCAGCGTGGCATTTACTGCAATGACGAGACCATCCATTACCCCTACAGACCAGACACCATCTCTCACAAAATGATGGCGGCCGTTACCATTTCCTGCTCCATCATTTTCGTGAGTCTCCACCAATCAATCAGCTAAGCAACCATTAAAGGAGTAGTTCACCCAGAAATGAACATTTGCTGAAAATTTGGTCACCCTCAGGCCATCCAAGATGTAGATGAGTTTGTTTCTTCATCAGATTTGGAGAAATGTCCACCAATCAATCAGCTAAGCAACCATTAAAGGAGTAGTTCACCCAGAAATGAAAATTTGCTGAAAATTTGGTCACCCTCAGGCCATCCAAGATGTAGATGAGTTTGTTTCTTCATCAGATTTGGAGAAATGTAGCATTGCATCACTTGCTCACCAATGGATCCTCTGCAGTGAATGGGTGCCGTCAGAATGAGAGTCCAAACAGCTTATAAAAACATCACAATAATCCACAAGTAATCCACTCACCACTCCAGTGTAATCCAGTTAACATCTTGTGAAGTGAAAAGCAGCATGATTGTAAGAAACAAATTCATCATTAAGACTTTTTTAACTTTAGAGCTTTGCTTCTGGCCAAAATGTAAGTCCATAATTCATAATAATGCTTCAGTGAAAAAGTCAATTTCCTGTTGTTCTCTCACATCAAAATCCACCCACATATTTGTTAAGAACTGTTTTAGACTGTTTTCACTTGTAAATGATGCTTGATCTGTGCATATTTCTGGAGAAATCAATATTATAGATTATGGTATTATGGACAGACGAAACGGTTTTGAAGTTAAAACATCTTGATGCATTTGTCGGAAATTGGAGCCTGTGTTGGGAAAAATGGATAGTGGTTGTGAAGCTCCAAAAAGGACAAAAATGTACCATAAATGTAATCTAGAAGACCAAAAGAATCAAATTGTTTCATCAGTGATTCGGTCACAGTGGTTCTCATGTTATTGGTTCACTGAAGTCTGTTTATTCCTCACACAAAGCTATCGTATGAATTAGTTAGAATGTAGCACACAATTCAATAGGAAGCTACTTTTGTTGACTGTGACAGATGTAACTTCAGTTCAAAGTGACCACATTTTTACCTTTATGTACCAAACATGAGGGTGAATATATAACCACAGAAATCACATTTTTGTGTGAATTATTCATTTAAGGAGCATCATAACTGGCTAAAAGGATTTGATATTGAACTACTTGTGAGAGCCAACCAGTTGCGGTAATTCTGAAATTAATTTTCTATTGCGTAATTTGGTTGCAAAAACATGCAGGTGGGTTTGGTATTGTCCACATTTTCTGAGAGAACATTGTAATTAGTTCAACATGATTCATCAGTGAGAATACAATTCAAAACATGAGTCATCTACATCAGACTCATACTCTGACTTTCATTTACTCTCATTACTAAGAATGAATCTTTATGTAACACATTTGATACACAATGGTAATTCAAAAGTGCGTTACATAACACATAGGTGCGTAAGAAATTAATTAAAAATGTATGAGCTATTGCAATTTGTCCCTAAAGAACCTTTCAGTGATCACTTCTTAAAAGAACCACTTTTTCTTAGTGTGAAGAACATTTGAATAATCTAAAGAACCTTTTTCCAATAAAAAAAACATTTTGTGGAATGGAAAGATTCCATGGATGTTCAAGGTTCTTCATGGAACCATCAATGCCAATAAAAAAGCTTTATTTTTAAGAGTGTGAAGAACCTTTTGTGGGATGGAAAGTGGGATGGAAACATATTTTTTCATGGAACTATAGATGCTAATAAAGAACCTTTATTTTTAAGTGTATTACTCATACACCCTAAGAAACCTTAAAGGGGTCATATGATGTTGCTAAAAAGAACATTATTTTGTGTATTTGGTGTAATGAAATGTGTTTATGCGGTTTAAGGTTCAAAAAACACATTATTTTCCACATACTGTACATTATTGTTTCTCCTCTATGCCCCGCCTTTCTGAAACGCGTCGATTTTTACAAAGCTCATCTGTCTGAAAAGCGAGGTGTTCTAGTCTAGATATCAAAGTAGAGTGGTCAACAGTGTCAAATTCTGCTGATAAATCCAAAAGCACGAGGACCACAGAGTCACCAGAGTCCATAGATAAAAAGATGTCGTTTAGCACTCTCAAGAGGGCAGATTCGGTGCTATGTGCAGATTTAAAGCCAGATTGAAAAATTTCAGAAATACCGTTGCAACTGAGAAAAGACTGGAGTTGATCAAACACAATTTTTTCAAATACCTTCGAGATAAATGGTAAAACAGAAATAGGGCGAAAGTTATTCAAAACAGAAGAATCCAGTGAAGGCTTCTTGAGTATAGGAGTGACAGTAGCCACTTTAAAGGCAGCAGGGACAAAGCCAGTACAAAGACACTTATTAAAAAGAGACACCAGACCCGGCCCAACACGATCAACAATTGATTTTAAAAATGTAGGGTGTATGGTATCAAAAGAACAAAAAGATGATTTGACGTTAACAATGGTGTTTTTAAGTAATTGCAGAGAAATAGGTTCAAAAACATCCCAGGAAGCAAAGTGCACTGATGGGATAGAGGGTTCAGTATGAGAAGGGCATATGTTATGTCTCAAATTGGAGATTTTATCAATAAAAAATCTCAAAAAGCTTTCACATAGAGCCTCAGAAGCAGTAAACATTGTAACCGGGGGGTTCACAACAGAATTAATGACTGAAAATAAAACTTTAGGTCTAGAGTGATTTTCCATGATTAGATTAGAAAAATATGTATTTTTAGCTGACTTAACAGCACTCTGATAAACCAATAAACTTTCTTTAAACAACTGAAATGAAATATGTAAATTGTCCTTTTTCCATTTACGCTCGGCCTTTCTACAAGCTTGTCTTAAAAGTCGAATCTCTGAATTGAGCCACGGTTCAGTTTTTTAGGTAGGTTTTAGGTAGGTGTGGTTGACTCTTTTATAAAGAATATCTCTTTGGATTTGAGACTTTAGTCTTTGCAACTTTACAGATTTTCTTTATGCACCAAGAGCTTGTAACACTCCAAAGAGAAAGGGAAAATTGAAATCGCATCATATGACCCCTTTAAACCTAAAAATCGTGTTGTTTTCTCACTTGCAGATCACTTCCGGAGAGGCCTACCTGGTTTACACCAAACGTCTCTACTCCAATTCGAACTTTAACCAGTACGCTGCGGCGCTCTATAAAGTGGTGGGGACGTTTCTGTTCGGCGCGTGTGTGAGCCAGTCTCTGACCGATATGGCCAAGTACACCATCGGACGATTGCGGCCCAACTTCATGGCGGTGTGTGCTCCGGAAGTGTGTGAGGGCTACATGCTGGAGATCAACTGCACGGGAAACCCTCGCAACGTGACCGAATCCAGGTACAGAAGCAGGGGACGAGAAGGGCCGGTGAAAGAGGTCATAAACTGCTAACCTCACTTCCTGTATTTGTTTATATTTGTCACCTGTTGTTTCACTTCCTGTTTGACCAGTACATTTGTGCTTTCTTAGGCTTTGACCTTTGCAGTCCAAAGGTCTCACTTGAGTTCTCAAATGCCTTGTGTCCTCAAGAGACCTGAAATAATAATAGATTTGATTATACATACACTAGAAAGTATGATGTGTGGTCACACGCATCTTTTTTTTTTTAAGGAACTATTTGAGTCCTTTAATCAATTAGGTTACATTTTTTTAATTATGATTTTAAATGTATTATTATTATTATTATTATTATTATCATTTGTAATCCTTTTCCTTTTAAAGTATAAATTAATATAGATTTATATATTTTTTTTGTCTATTTGCTTTTATTCTAATTTTTAAACAATTTTATAATTTCTTCATCCCACTCAGTGTTGTTATTTTTAACTAAAACTATTTAAAAATTGTTGTTGGTAATTGAAATAAAGCTGAAATAAAATAAAATATAAATATTAGATGAAAAAAAGTAGAAATGACAACAGCATATAACAAAATTACTTAGACTTGTGCTTAAATTAAGAAAATAAACGCTAAAAATATAAAAAAGCTCATTTAAAATATTTATAAATACTATAATAAATAATATAATAATAATAAATATAATAATTAAATAATAATAATCATTATTATAATAAATATTATAAATAATTAAATAACACTTTTAACCAAGAATTGCTGTTATCAGTATTGCTGTCATAACCAATACGCTGTACATTATAGGTAACAATGTTTATAATAATCATTTTTGGTTATTATATAAATGAGAAATGTGCCATCTCTGAGAGATGAAGATCATAGATCTGAATTTTGAAGATCAATAATTTACATTTTTTAGATTTTTACACGTATCACTAAACTGATTATCTCAGAGTAGGTTTAAAGGGATAGTTCACCCAAAAATATCATATATAGTGTAATTTGTGTTCCGAAGATGAACGAAGGTCTTATGTGTTTGGAACGACACGAGGGTGAGTAATTAATGACAGAATTTTTCATTTTTGGGTGAACTATCCCTTTAAGGTTAGTAGGTTTAGGTTGAAGTATTATTACCAAACCGATCACATTCACATCATCGCACATCATACCAAAAGGCACTCGGAGGTCAAGGCTGTTATGAACATGCGATAAATATTTTAACACCGATGAAACATAGTATGAAAGTGTCATTCTAAATGATTCGTGGACTGTGAAAATGATTTTTTTTCCCCCTTTCTCCTTGTATTGTTGTCTTGTATCTGTCCGATCCGTCCTTCCTCCGTGGATTGTGTTGCGCCAGGCTGTCGTTCTACTCCGGTCACTCCTCCTTCGGGATGTACTGCATGTTGTTTCTGGCGGTGAGTTGTCACAGTTGTCTTCCTCTCCTGCAATCATGCTGACACAGAAGACTTGTGTAGACAGATAAAGGAGAGCTCTCAGAGCAACAGGAAACACCACGGAGACAATAAACTACGACCTCAAACATTCCCAATGTCTCCAGCTTTAAATCAAGACAGTATATGGTGCTTAAAGGAACAGTACACCCAATCATTATAGCTCTGTTATCATTTACTCACCCTCACGTTATTTCAAACCTGCATGACTTTTTCTCTTCACAGCATGAAAATTCTCATTATGTGTTCCAAACAAGAAAAAGGCATATAGGTTTGGAGCGGCATGAGGGAGAATTAATAGTTTTCTGCTTGCTTCACTCATGTCAAGACGTGTCTGTAGTTGGCAAGTCATATTCACACAAGGTGCTTTCCCGTATCTTTTAAGGAATTGCAATGACTTGCATTGATTTTCCTTCTACTGAACCCTCAAGACTGATTTTCCATTTTCTTCCCATATTCTCTTTTCAAGTATTGTGTAATCCCTCCTTGTTTCTCCTGTATTAGCTGTATGTCCAGGCACGTATGGCATTCAAGTGGGCCCGCCTCCTCCGGCCCACAATTCAGTTCTTCCTGGTGGCCTTTGCCATTTATGTGGGTTACACGCGTGTGTCTGACTACAAGCACCACTGGAGCGACGTGGTGGTGGGTCTCCTGCAAGGGGCGCTGATCGCAGTCCTCACGGTGAGTGGGGTGAATCTCATGAAATGAAGAACAAATTATAAAACCATTATAGTTTGAATATAAAGAAAAGAAATCCTGTTTTAGAAACATTGGGATTTTTTTTTTTTGAGTTGTGAAATTATGTCCACGATTAAGCCCAAATTAAAAAAAATACTGAAAAAAGAATAATGTGTAAGTAAGTATATAAATGTACTCAATGAGAATTTTTTTCCTCCACGTTACAGTAATTTTAATAGAATTTGGATGGAGAAATTGGATTATTTGTTAAAAAATTTTTTTTTTTTTTTAAG